AAAAAAAAAAAAAAAAAATCCTTGGAAAAAATAGTAAAAAAAAATACAAACTTTGCGATATTAATATTTAAAATAGTTGTAAAATTTGTGTCAAGAAGAATTAAATATACCGTTATGGATATACACAGTATATCGAATCGAATTAAATATATGGATATACGTCTTGACCTTCAGCAACTAAAATTTGCTGCGGCAACTTGAAATAAAGCAAAACTGATACATGCATGTATGCTGATAAAGAAATGTACCAGGACTAATTTGAAGTAGACATGTCTTGAGATGAGCTGGAAAATCAAATAGAAAATTAACTAAAAGAAAAACAGAAAAAAAATACGAAAAAAAATAAAAAAAATATGAAAACACAAAAAGAAGACATAAATAATTATATAAGAACACAAAATAATCTCAATCACTCACTCATACACTCTAACACCACATTTGTATCTACAGGCATGGGTTTTTTGGTTTATTTAATGTAGTTTTTATTTGTTTTAAATGAATGTGCAGTTGGGCATTAAATGTGATAACAAAGTACATTAGTTCACAGGATACAAATATGTGGCATTTTGGTATTTCATAATAAATTATTAGTTTTTCAATAATTAAATAAATTATAACTATTGATTTACATTACTCCATCATACCTTAAGTGTGATGACCACATAAACTCCCTGGACATTTGTTGCCCTGTGATCAATCAACCTTGGTATATTATATGTAAAAATATATATACTTATCCACTATCAACAGAAATAATGAATTTATCTTACAGAATACAAAGAATACACCAACCTCATACAGCTTGTATATTTATCTATTTAAACCGTCCTGTAGCATTAATGTATTTATGCACACACTCCATCAATTGGTTGTTCTGTAAATCACTATTACTAGTGTTTCCATTTAGAATAGTACTTAAAGATATTGTATTATGGAAATCTACATTATTTAATATAAGATCCTGCATACAAGTTTGTCGTTATTCTGTATAGAGAGGACATTCAAAAAAGAAATGATAAGAGTTTCCAAATGTATGACTACAAGGACAGTTTGGACTATATTTCAAGTGATCTTTAAACAGATCATAGTTATGTTGACTAGCACCATTTCTTAATTGACACATTGATATATGACTTTTTCGTGAACCAGAGTATTTAAATACAGTTGTAAATACATTTTGTTCTGTGTCACCTACAATTATCTTTTATATTTATCTTTTAAAAGTAATAATATTTGTAATATGAGTAAGGTTATTATTGGCACTGTTCCATATGTTCATCATACTGGGGAAAAAACTATTAGCATATAGCGTGGTTCTAGGAAGGGGCACATTGAAAATTCTTGAGTGCCTAAGATTGTGTGTATTTTCTTCTGGGTTTAATATATATGGTTGAATAATTTCATGTAGATAATTTGGGGTTATTTTGTGTGTTATTTTAAGAAGAAGATGTGTTTATGTTTATCCCTCCTATTCTGTAAACTTTCCCATCCTATTACTTTATATAATATAATATAATACGACAAAATCTTGCTCCGTAGTTTGTATTGAAATTTCTCTGAATTCTGACCATAATTGAAAACCACGAAAATCGTATTCAGTAAAAACAAAATGTTTATCTTGGTAAAGTTCATATTTTCCCATAGTACTGCTGCCTCCAGACGAAAACTAAATTAAATAATAAGGGCAAAATTCAGCTAGTGAGGTAAGTCTGTACGCACGCATATCTACGCTCTTATCATGATGCAACACACTATTTGTTTTGTTACTTCTTTTGAATGGTACAGAGCGGAATCCCGCAAGAGCACCGCAGCAGGTGGTCATAAAGGAGGAGCCTATCTCAGATGACCAGCGTCCCCATATTGAACACGAACAGACATCACATCGGCGTAAGTATGTTTATATTGGTACACGGACCTACAATTATTGTACATCAAATTATCCCTAAGTATGACTTCGTTCTGTGATTTACATTTAATAACGTTGATAAATTCACTTATCTTGAATACAGATGAACCTTATAAAAAGGGTAAACATAGAGAAGCGCGCCGTGGAGACAAAAAGAGAAGAAAAAGGGAATCTTCCAGACCCGAATCAATGTCGAAAGTTGGATATCGTCATATTGAAGAGGGCAGTGGAAGTGAGATGTCTCCATGTTCATCCCAGCTACGTAAGTCCTTTAGTTTGTGATGACAAATCAGCCTTTCCAACAAATATGTGTTGTGTCGTTGGTTACATTGTCATTTCAATAAAGGAAAAGTATTGACAGAGTGGTAGGACACCCTGTTCAATTTTCTGATTAAGTAGCGTGCTTTTTATACACTCAATGAGTTAAAGTAAGTGAAATGTGTGATGTGTGCTGTAGTTTAGCAGGATTAGTTAAGGTAGCGTGGCGGACATACTATTACAAATCTGTTCACGTAATTACGTTACGTTAAGTTTGAATCTGCATTCGTCCTATTCTTAGTCCTTCGTGTATTACGAATATCTTTTACATGTTTTAACATATTCTGTATACAGTTTCATTGGATTATAGGCAAAACCAAATCGACCAGTTACGTCAATTGGAAAATCGAATGTATAAACTCCACATGACATATATTTCAGCAATAAAGCAAGAGACAATGATTTGCAATACAACAATAAAGAAAGAAGCAAGATCAGGACGACAGGACACGAGTTTCCAGCAACAAAGTAGGTGTTTATATCCAGGTATGTTTTAACTGTTTTCACAACCTTGTGAATAGTAGCTTTTAATCTATGTATGTTCGTAAAACAAAATAATTTTTAGTAGACAATTTGTGGAAAATTAATATTGAACTTAACTATTATTGCAAAAGTAAATGTATTTTGACGTAAACGACCCATATCAGTTACATGTGTTCCGCGAGAATACGATAAAGCGTGAGTACAACGTTATAACGTAAGTAATGTTTTGTAATGTGTATCCAGAAATAAAGCAGGAGATGACAATGGACAGCTCGACACTCAAGCTGGAAACAAGATCACGACCAACGGACACAAGTTCTCAGCTACACAGTAGGATTTTATTTTATATTATTACGATCAATCGCAAACAAGTCAGTGTTCCAAACATGTTTGATAGCTATTCATTGTATATATCTATCAATAAAATTAACCATTAATGTTTTTCATTCATGCATATCGCAAATTCTAACAACAATTGGTACTCTTACCAAAAAAGCGTTAAATTTGTGTATTTTTCTCCGATGGTATTACAATAGAAACATTTATCACCATTTCCATCAAATACTTTTGTTCTCAGCGACATTTAAATAGTACATGATTATTTAAAGTCAACGTGTCAGCAAACCAGAAAATAACGACTTACGTCAACGATATTTTAGAGTATTTGGAAAAGGTTCATTATAGGTACGTTTAAATGTTGATTTCTGGTCCTTATAACCGGATAATACAAACAGCATATGTACAAATTAGATCAGTATGGTCTTAAGCAATAGATTTTGCTGCAATCGGCTCTTTAACTAATAAAAATAAAAACAAGTTTCATAGCCTGTGATATGGTGTACCAATTTGGGTACTAATCATGACCGAAAGAAGAGCTATTTTTTTTTTGGAAAAAAGCACACGAGTAAAGAAGGTCTTTTTATACAATGATGCGTATTTTCAGGCATAACACTGGAGACTTATAACAAAAGTAGGAAGATTAATGAGTGAATAGGTCGTCTATTAAAACGACATAACATTATCAAGGTTAAAGCAATCAATCACCCGGATACATATAATCCAAAGGATTGATCCACATATTAAATATGATATATAGTTTGACGAATGAACAGCTTTGCAATTGTTTGTTTGTCACGAAAGTGAGCCATCATTTATGGTACTAATGTGTAAAAAATCCTGATAAAAGCTAAAACATAAATTAATATATTATATATATATTTATAAGTTCTTACAAACAAAAAAAGACTCGTCACCATAGAAAAATGAACTGGTGATGGTAGGATTAAAGTCAAATTTTCTCTCAGCGTGTCCTTCATCTACACTCTTTTACTATACTTAACAAATGTAAAACAAAATAAATAGAAAGACAATTAATGATAAAGTCCAGAAATATCTAGGTATCGTGAAATATTATGTATATAGATAACAGCATTTTGGATATAAATAAATCAAGTCAAGTCCTAAATTCTCTTTAAGGTCTTTTCTTGATTGACGTGTAGACTGTTTCAGGAGTTGAAAGTGCAGGCAGGTATATGCATTGACAGATAAGTGGTCAGGCAGAGGGTTAAAAAAAGAGCTAAATATGCTAGTATTGTGAAAGTTGCTATTAATCGCTCATGAATAGTAAATGTCCCATGGTTTGATTAACGTATTTCGGGATAATCTTATAGAGAGTTTAGTGTTGAGAGTTTAAAGTCGAGGTTCGGGAATGTGAGTCTCTGGAGAAAGAGGCAAGGGAAGGCCTTGACCGGAGGGCCAGGGATGGCACGTGTTGTGCATTATAACTAGGTCTTTAATGTTGCAACCCATATTATCTGTGTGCTTGAAGATTTGTTGTCGTGTTCCAAAACGATGCTAAAAAGTACATCTGACAAAATGTATAAAGGGAGAGAGAGTCTGCTGCAGGAAGGGGGTAAAGCATCTGATCTTCGCAGTCAAAATGCATTACAAGTTGATAAACAATGTCAACAACGCTGTGTTCAGCGTGTTATGAAACATGGTGAAAAAGGCTAAAAAATCAATTTATAAGAGCGTGATGTACTTTATTTTGTAGGTCTCGTTTCTGCTCCGGTAACACATGTGTAAAAAATACTTGCTTTAGTAAAAGAATAAACAAATCTTCCGGAAAACATTATGTGCTTATAAATGGCTGAAGTGAAAATTATTTTGACATGCAATTTTCATTTTGTTAATTACTTCCTAATGAAGTAAAAAAATATATGTTTTTTTGAGGTTATTTGACGTTATTACAATTGATGACGATAATGAAAGGCTGGACTACTACTTCAATCTTTCCAGGCAGTTTCTGCTCGTATGCAATATCTTACCCTGATTTAGTAAATCAACACGACAGCATCGTCATAAGCGTTCACCTATTAGTAGTACCTATATCATAATTTCTTGGTAAGATGTGAAGGGCGATTATTTTTTATTGTGCTCATAACTGCGTCTTGTTAGTTTGTCCCACTTAAAAAACGTGACAATACTTTACACGACGAGCATCTTCGACAAAGCAGAAATCGTAAACCCTTTTGGAACATTTAGTCTTATTCTTGTTGCCATTTTTTCTTTTTTCCCCCTAATGTTTCGGTATCATTATTCACTTTGTTTGACACTTCGAAATTTGTTTTAACCCAATGGACATTTCTATATGGTTAACACTGTCTCGAAAAGAATCTTAGTTGTGAAATGTCATATAATCACTTAATATCATCAATGAGGTCACTAAAATATAATTATTTTACGTCCGTCCGTCTCGGGTCTCTGCAAATGGAGTTCCTCAATTTAATGAATAATTGTATTAGCTTAAAATGGGAAATACAAATTGTAATACATCAAACTATCCCCTGTTCCATGTTTGCGAATTAATCCACACTTGGTTTGGGTAAGTTTGGTTTAGTATTGNCTTTAACGTCCTATCAACAGCTATGGCCTTTTAAGGACTGCCTCCCTTGCGTGCAAGTTGCATGTGTGTGGTGTATGCTAGTGTGTTTTTGTTTTAGTGTGCGATATGTTCGTGTTTGTCTCCCTGTGATAGCGCGGTATTGATGCCGACTTTATAGTGCTACCTCACTGAAACATACTTCAGACGACACCGAGCAGGACCACCCACCCTGTCACATTATACTGACAAAGGGCGAACCAGTCGTCACACTCCTAAATTGCTAAGCGTTAAGCAAGAATAGAAACTACCATTTTTACAGGCTCTGGTATGTCTCGGTCAGGGGCAACCCAGAGCCTTCCTCATAGGGGCAAACTAAAAGCCAAAAGTGAGGCATTGTCAAGGGAGACATTAGAAATAAGAAAGTTGTTTAGAACGAAGAGAAAAGATAAGTTCCCAAATATAGTCGCCTGTTACGATCATGCCATTGGGACAGCAGGTATTATTCTTACATCCTACCTGCAGGAACATTTATCCACACAGAAAAAAGAAGGAAAATGCAAAACAATATTATCGGTATTTTATTGGTATTACTAACATGTTACAATTGTGTGACCGCAAAACGCACCAAAACACCGTGCGCATACCGTGCATATACGATCACACACCGTCCGCACATCGTCCACACATGGTGTGCACAACTATGCAATTTAACAATCGTTCGCCCCATTGTGCGCTTCTCTCTGCACAACTGTGCGATTTGGTACAATTTGTTGATCAACATTGCGGAATGAAAAAATTGAGGAAGGCTCGTATGCAATAATGTACACTGTATATATATATTACTGTAATTCTCTCATCTCTATAATTAAGATTATGTACAATTTTACAATGCGTGTAACACAGTATACAGTGACCGTTAGACTGTCAATAATTGGTTTGGCTCCTCGGTAACAGAACAGGTAAATAACAATTGAATGAGTGACCGGAGTTTTACCTAACACATAGAGCTCTGACACATAGAGCTGGACGATTAATATTTGTTATTTGCATTCGCTTAGGTCTATAGCTCCCATTCACCTGGTTTTCACACCTTGGCGAGTTACGTATGTGCCCCGGGCGGGGGAAAATTACGGTCCAGGTTCAAAGTGGCTATGTTTACCTGTGTTGCCGAGACTGTGTTGTAATTTTACATGTGTTGATTAAGGTCCTTTCGAAAAAAAACCGAAATCACCATTTCTAAATTTAAGAAAGTATAGACAGAAAGATAAGCTTATAGATGTATCTTGAATATAGAAACATACTAAAAAATCAAGTTTATATGTTTAAACACGAAACCGTATTTATTGTTGAGCCATTCCTCAATTTACACCAACCGCAATTGTTATCGCACAACGTTCGTCGATCGTCCGCACAAATGTGCGCAAGCAATGATCGTCCAATTTTTATCGTTCGCACTTCGTGCACACATCGGTCACACACACTTTTTTTATATATTTTTTTTATAGAAAGGAGTGCTACATTTAGAGACGCTACTGCTGCTGCTGCTGCTGCTGCTGCTGCTGCTGCTGCTGATGGTGATGATGATGATGATGATGAACGTGAATTTCAACAGGTATGCTATTTCAAATATATACTTAAATAGTTTTTTTCCTCGGCAAACGCCAAATGCCTATGTCAGTGTTTTCTATTGTTTGTCACAACCCCGGCTCTGACTTTGCGGCTATAGAATCACGTGGATATGTTGTCGACGAAGCTTTTTTTTGCTAATATTTTGCCTTTGTTTTACGATTTTGAATTCGTATAACAGGAAATGCATTTCACTAACAACTTTAAAGCTATATCCAGAGAAAAACTGATATATCACAATACTTTTTATCATTGTAGGCATATTGTTCAAGGAGTATCACAAACCTTGTTTATTAATGGATCAAAACCTCGACTGTAAGATCAATATTAGAGTATCTGGAAATTCAATCTGGACGAACATATTTCGGAAATTCAGTCATAATCTTTGTATGATGGATTGAACTATTGATTTTCCAGAATTATCTTAAAAATATGCTATTTTAGTCAATATAACCTATTCCCACGAAATTAATCTTGACCAAAGTCGGAATATATATTCTACCCTTTCACAGTACGAAAGGTACCAACACTTCTGCTAAATTGTGTTATACAAGTTGTACATGTTATGTGTTATTTAAAAAGAAAATATGTGTGACCACACAACGCACCAAAATAGCGTGCGAACATCGTGCATACATCGCCCACACACCGTCCGCACACCGTCGGCACATCGTCCACACATAGTGCTCACAACTGTGCGATTTAACAATCGTTCGCCAAGTTATGTGCTTCTCTAAGCACAACTGTGCGATTTGGTACAATTGGTTGATCAATATAACGGAAAGGAAAAAGCTGGAACCCTCGTATGGAATAAGGGACACGTTATATAAAATATCCTCATCAAACAAACACTACTTTGTTCAATCTTACAGTGCATGTTACACAGCATAACAGTGACTGTTGATTGTCAAGAATGGGTTTAGCCCCCTTATAACAGAACGGGTAAATAACATTTTGATGATTGACCGGAGTTTTACCTGGTCTGTGCCTGGCAAAGAGAGCTGATATGTGATACCGTATGACCGTATGAAAACACAACTGGACGTAAAGTATTTGTTGCTTGCAATTGTTTTTGTCTATAGCTCCCCTTCTCAAAGCAAAATAAATGTAATATTCGTCGGAAGGTGCAATGCATAGCGTATTCGGTTTTTACACGACCTGTGTTCGATTTTCCCATCGGATGTGGAAAGGTACCGGTCACCTGTACGGCCGCATGGTTCCCTCGGGTTCCCCGGTTTCCTCCGACATAACGACCCTCATGTGCGCTTTAATTATAGCCAACCAAAGGAATTAATTCATACTGACAAAACCTGTGTCATATTCGTTGATTAATGTAAAACATAAATATATCACTATTAAAAATATTGTTAGTCAACTCTGTTCTGTAAATGTATCCAACCGGCTTAGGTTGCAGTGTACAGTAGCGTACGGTGGCCATTGGTGATATTTTTGTACAATGAATAACCCCTGTAATATTACATGTATCAAAACTTAAAAACGAAATCAGCACTAAAATTGGCATATGCATGATGAAATGGACTTCACATTTACATACAAAAAAAAATAGAATTTGGTTTGAGACTACATTTTTGGCCATTTACAAATCTGTGTGTACACAACAAAAGCTAGCTTTTCATGTAGTCTATTTTTGTACTCCAGTTAAACGACCTATGCTAAACGTGAGTATTTCTGTTACCGAGATTGTTATAATTAATTTAAGACAGGTTTTGAGAAAAACAATACCACTTGCGTGGGTCAAATTTTGGGTTAAAAATCAAGTTTCTTTTGCATTTTTTGGCGTTTTTTGATGTGGTAACCATGGTTTTCACAACTCCTTAATCTGGAGAAATCACTTTTTGATAAGAAAAAAATATCTTCTAAAAAACCCATTTTCAAAATGTAGTTTATAAATATATATAAATATATATGTAGGTGTGTTACGCAGGATGAATCAGCTATCCATGTTTATCTGAGACATGCCCTTTATTTTTAGGATCAATCAATTTCTACTGTACTCTGCTACCTTAAATCATCATTATTATTTAACTTTAGAATTATATCACTGTTTGATATCTTTTTCTGGAATTTTTTAATGTCATCACGTTGTTGATTGGTAGTTTTATGAGATTCGTTTTAAATCTTATAGTTTCGATTAAGACTGGCCCAGAGACGGGACGCTAGACAACACCTGGAAGACACATTTGGCGGCATAGAGAACCACCATTACTGTACCAATGTCAAAGCCTATCTAAACATGATTTTGGAAAATCTGCCACCAGAACAATATGAAAAAACAGGTATAAAAAGCCGCTTACAAAATATATTGCAAATGGAAAGAGTATTTTGCAAGGTACCTGTAATACCAATATTGCAAATAAGAAAGAAGTTCATAAGCTAACTTTCAATAGTATCTAATTTTAGCCACACTTGTCTTTATGAGACCAGATATTGGGATATTTGCAACAATCGGTAGATATATATGTGACTGTTTTGTTACTTCGCAACAGTTTGATACACTTTCACGAATGACTATTTCAGAGATAATGACAGAAGACCCCTTCTTCGACAAACTGATAGACAGAATTACCAATGAGCCTAACCCAAAGACACTGTTTGCAATTTTACATCGTCGGGGAGTAATCACGCGTGAAGATATATGTTGCATCATGCATCCCCTTAGCAGCGATTCGGCCCAAATATTCAACCTCATAGAAGTACTGAAACGGAAACCGAATTGTCGTACAGCAATTGAAACAGCAGTGCGCGACTGTTTACAAGATGAACTTCTTAGTGGAGGTAAGAAACCTATATGTAGTGTATTTTATCCTGGCGCTCTTTGAATACTGATGATACACACACGACATGCAGGATAATATACAAATCATTATTTAAATTTACACTGAGCAATTTGATTATTTAAATACTATTTGATCCAAACACAGCTGTTTTGACGCGCTTGCTATGAATTGGCGTCATTGTTATTATATTGTCTATCCAAAACAATATTTAACTGAAAGCAACATATTGTAGAAGTATTTGTGTTTTAAAGTGCTGTTTTAAATTTTCTTCTCTGTAGAACCTGTTGAAACGGCACGATTAAATCAGGAAAACGCCTTGTGCTTTGGAGACTTACTTAAACTTGAACATTTCTTTGAGAGTGAAGATAGTTCAAACTCTGAAAATTTAACCGGGAAGCGGTGGAGCTGTTTACATCATGCTGCAGCCGACGGGGATTTAAGTCTCTATACACAACTTGAATCTTTATTTCTTGGAGAGATAGAGGATCAGGAAAAATATACATACATCCAAAGACATAGAGACGAGAAGAAAAATACGGTTTTGCATGGTGCAGTTGAATACGGTAACGATGAAGGGTGTGGCTATCTATGTAGACAGTACCCACAACTAACCAAATCTCGTAACGTCTTGCATCAGGAACCGATTCACCTGGCTATCGCTAAAAACAAAACTGATACAAACTGTCTGAAACAATTAATGGAAACTAACATTAGAACAGATCAACGAGCTGGGAATGTCATTGATGAAGTAGCAGCAGAGAGCATACAGCGTCTGCTACTCCTGACCTATACGTGTGACAATGTCGCAGTCATGAAGTACATGTTTGAGAAATATCCATATCTCGAAAATCACAGGGGGTTACATGGCAGATTGCCGATCCATTCTGCAGCCGCGAATGGAGGTCTCGAATGTGTTAGATATTTAAAGCAACATATGATAGAAGACCTTGACGGTAATCAAAGAAATGATGTCATCCAACGGTTGACAGATGACCACAGCAGCAACGTTTTACATATTGCATGTGAAGCCGGGTCACTAGATGTAATCGGCTATATAATCAATCAGTACCCTAGCCTACTTCACACCAAGGGTCGTCGAGGATTGGAGCCCATTTTTTACGCAGTGCAAGGCCAAGGTTCATTACAAACTTCTGTAAAAGTATTTGATGCTATAAGTGAGAAGAAGTCATCGAAACAAATATTAAATTATTTGATCAAAACTAGAAACCCAAAAGAAAACACTGTTCTACATCAAGCATGTACGTTAGGGAAAACGGATATCGTGGCATATCTACTTGAACATTACCCATCTTTGGAGGACGCACAAGGATCATCCGGTATGTCACCTCTGCATTCAGCTTCGATGACTGACGGGACATTAGAGTGTTTTCAATACATTCTCAATACAATAATTCAAAGTAGAAGTTATGATAACCAGATAGATTATCTCTCAAGAACAAGGGACGATAGAAACAGGACCGTTCTTCACGTAGCATGTCGATATGGAAGAACAGACATTGTTGAATATCTTCTCACAGCATATCCATCTCTAATCGATGTGAGAGGATTGAAAGGAAGACTACCAATACACAGTGCAGCAGAAAAGGTAGGGTCTTTTGAATGTTTTCAATATATTTTTGGATCTTTACTGCGAAATAAAAGTAGCGAGGAGCAGCTAGATTATCTGACACGTACAAGGGACAAACTTGATAGCACTGTACTACATGTAGCATGTTCTTACGGAAGGAAAGATATTGCTGAATATCTACTTACAAGATATCCATCACTGATTGATGTAAAAGGGTTTAACGGAAGACAACCAATACACAGAGCAGCAGAAAAGGAAGGGTCTTTGGAATGTTTTCAATATATTCTTGGATCTTTACTGCGAAATAAAAGTGACGAGGAGCAGCTAGATTATCTGACACGTACAAGGGACAAACTTGATAGCACTGTACTACATGTAGCATGTTCTTACGGAAGGAAAGATATTGCTGAATATCTACTTACAAGATATCCATCACTGATTGATGTAAAAGGGTTTAACGGAAGACAACCAATACACAGAGCAGCAGAAAAGGAAGGGTCTTTGGAATGTTTTCAATATATTCTTGGATCTTTACTGCGAAATAAAAGTGACGAGGAGCAGCTAGATTATCTGACACGTACAAGGGACAAACTTGATAGCACTGTACTACATGTAGCATGTTCTTACGGAAGGAAAGATATTGCTGAATATCTACTTACAAGATATCCATCACTGATTGATGTAAAAGGGTTTAACGGAAGACAACCAATACACAGAGCAGCAGAAAAGGAAGGGTCTTTGGAATGTTTTCAATATATTCTTGGATCTTTACTGCGAAATAAAAGTGACGAGGAGCAGCTAGATTATCTGACACGTACAAGGGACAAACTTGATAGCACTGTCCTACATTTAGCATGTCGATACGGAAGGAAAGATATTGCTGAATATCTACTTACAAGATATCCATCACTGATTGATGTAAAAGGGTTTAACGGAAGACAACCAATACACAGAGCAGCAGAAGAGAAAGGGTCTTTGGAATGTTTTCAATATATTCTTGGATCTTTACTGCGAAATAAAAGTGACGAGGAGCAGCTTGATTATCTAACACGTACACGGGACGATAACAATGAGACTGTTCTACATGTAGCGTGTTCACATGTAAGGACGGGTATTGCTAAATATGTACTCGAAAAATATCCATCACTCATTAATGTAAAAGGATGCCAAGGTGAAAAACCAATACATTATGCAGCAGGTGAAAATGCAACTCTTGAATGCTTTTTATCTATCCTCTCTATCACTTGCCCTAAAGGTAGGGTAATGCAGCGCTTTGACTATCTCACAAACACCAGAAATGATAACAACGACACCGTTTTACACTTGGCTTGTAAATACGGAAATAAAGACATAGTTCAGTATCTTCTCGATAAACACCCATCACTGATTGATTTGAAGGGAGCTAACGGTATGACACTTTTGCATTCGGCAGCAACGGAGCGTGGATCACTGAACTGTTTTAAGTATATCTTGCATAAATGTTGTAGAAAAAAACCTACAGATGAACAACATACATTTTTTAAATCAACTGTGGACGATCAAAATAACATAGTTCATGCTTTAGCTGTCAAGTGTGAAAGGGAAGATATCTTAACATTCCTCAAAAGGAATTATAAATCAGTTATATAACCGATTTACACAAATATTATCTCTAATGAAGTTTAGCATCCATGGCTAATTTATGTGGATGAATATTTTGGTATAACAATTACAATTCGCAACAACAGAGCACGTTCTTATCAATAAATCCTGCGTAGTTTAAATACGAATAGAACGGATAAAGAAATAAAAACACATTTAGAATCAACACTGGATGACCAAAATAACACAGCGCATGCCTCAGCGTGGAGGCCTTGGAACAAAATATCATAACATGCCTATGAAGGAAATATCTATTCCTGAAATAACCTTTTACAAACTATCTACAATAAGATTCATCAGTTTGGAAATATCAATGTTTTACCTTCTACACAAACAATGTAAGTATTAAACGTTTCGCAACGTTTCAAAACCGACTGGTCCCGTCGTCAATTGATTACAAATTATTACAAATTAATTCAGTTTCTGGGCAGAAATTTAACTTACATTTGGATACTTTCTATATACATAGATTTCCAATTTACTTTGAATACTAGGAACACCTGCCATTAAAGTATTTCAATACGGTATTTTCCTTGAGGAGGGCCCGTCTGAGTTGACGTAGAATATTACATACGCCAATGATTTAATGGGTGACTTTTATACGATTTCTGAGACAAACCACAGCACTGGACTGTAGAATCAGTTTAATGGCCAAGACAATCCGGGAATCAATTGCTTTTCAAACTGATTTTAAAAAGTTCAGATTTAGTAATAAGAGCAAATGTCAATTGATATTTTATGAGTTTGGAACTACAATTACAATGCAATTATCATTTCGGTGCACAGAATGTACTTCCGTTGTTGATAGATTTTTTTATGTTTTTAGTTTTAACAAATATTTGAATAACAAGTTATTGTTTTAGTTGAATAATGTGACAAGAATCTCAATAGAATGAAAATGGTTTTTGACCTTTGCATTTTTAAATAGGTCCAGGATATTTACCCCTGTTACCTTTAACATGAAGTAAATTCATTTCAGCCATGTGCCCTTGAAAGAGAGACTAGGTCTTTCTTTCAAAAAGTTAGTAACCACTCTTTCGAGCATGTTACAGGTCAAATATCAAGACTCCATACCTTGGAGAACTTGAAAATAAGTTTCTCAAATATGTTTCCTTGAAACAGAACTTTTGAAATGTGACCCCTACTGAAAACCGAAAGTTGAAAGAGAAATATACGCCTTGGTGTCCTCTACATCATTCCAGAATATGAAGCTAATATCTCCAATATTCTGGTTTCAAAAAGGTTAACTTTTTAATATTCGGCATTTGTGATCTTGAAAATAGGTCAAGGTAGTTCATTTTTACAAATCTGATGGCCAATCATCTCAGCTTGTTAGAGATCAAATATCAAGCCCTTTAAACTTCGCTGGAGTCTTTTTAAGTTCGGTACCCAAGAAAACGAAATTGATCCCTACCGAAAACTGAAGAATGGCGTTTGATACAAAAACGTTTCTTCGCAAAGTTTTGTATTTTTACTTGACACAGCATAAGTAAAGATGAAACTGATGGCTTCAGGTGTTATTGAGTAATCGCAATAATAGAAATGATGGATATGACGACATGGCGGCCATCTAGGATTTTTGATCAAGTCAAATGTCTTGACTGGCTGAAATCTGCTTACAAAAGCATCACAATAAAACGGTTTTAATATATTGTTGGCTATCCAAAGGAAATATTTAAAATGGCGTAAGACGAACAGTAAACGTTTTAGAAACAATGAAGACATCAAATTGATCAGAATGGTTGTTTCAGAAAAAAATTAAACCGGTGAAAATGTGACCTTTGACACGTAAGCGTAATGATATGATGTAATGAAAAAAATGTTAGCCTTGAATCTGATCTACATCGATATAATTGCATGAATAGATTTTGAATTTGTGCCTTTAAAACTTTGATATATGACCTCATGGCGACCATATTGGATTTCTGACCTAATTGGAAATGTTGCATTGATACCTTCTAATCAGGTCCTACACTAACCCTAAAACTAAGAACACATTTGCTACAAATCAAAAGAAAAGGACGCCACAATTATATGGCAGAATAATAAGGATAATAAGAAAAAGAAGAATTAAAATGCAAATAATAGGTTGTTTCTCCAGATTATATCATTCTCAAAGCTCTAAGTAAAAAATACGATGCAGTTACCTTTATCCACACTTTATGTAAATATGTACAAAGGTATTAACTAAGCACATGCGATTTGATCCATACCTACATAAGTGGATTTAGCATAATACTAAATGTTATATCAACCTGTATACTTGATATGACCCTTACTTATATTGCATTTTTTATACTTGATATGACCCTTACTAATATTGCATGTTTTTATACTTGATATGACCCTTACTTATATTGCATGTTTTTATTTTCGTAATTAAGAAGTAATTCAGAAATGAGTCAGAAGATCATGTAATGACCGTCTCTGAACAGTCATTGCAAAGGTTACGTTTATGACGTCTAATTGTATATGACGTCACACGCACCGGAAACAAATATCCCTGTATAATAATACTATGGTTGCTACATACTTTCAGTAGTTATATTCAGTACGAATATAACAAGTGTAACTATTCAGTTATTGT